TTATTATTTTCAAAGTCAAAAGTTAGTAAATACTATTTAAATAAAATTTGATTTTATTTAAATATTACTAAATGTTGATTATTTTATGCTAAAATGTTTAGTATAAATATGTGAAAAATGGTTTTGCATTTAAGTGAGGTTTTGATCCTAAATTTCTAAGTGTTAGAAAGAGAAGAAAGTGTTCTTCATAAAACTTCAAGAAAGAGTTCTTGAAAATTCCCAAATAAAATTTATAAATATTTTTATACAAGAAAACCGAGTCTTTTCTACTAGCGAAGGAAAGTCGTCGGAACCGGGCTTCATAGGGTGGATACGTTTAGAGGGAAGACACTTGGATTCTTCTAGCGAGTAATCTCAAGTCGTTGAAGTTACAACCGGGAACCGATTCCCTCATCCATCATCAATTGTGAAGGAGTTCAAGATATTCGGTAAATATTTTTCTAGTATTTACTTTATAGTAACAAATCAAAATTTGTATATGATGCATGTTTTAAAGATGACGATCAGTTAATTCGCAATTAGTATGTACGGGTGTAGTATTTATACGATAAATACTTACTTTAAAAATTTTAAATTCCGCTGCGTACAGCTCGTACAGTACTAGCGAACCCAACATAATGAACTATGAAACTGCACACCATAAAACAAATCACCCTAAGTACTATAGACTAGAATAAAGTCCTCCCCTATCGCCAGCATAACTCCAACAACCACCAAACGAGTCGGCCCCATGAAAGACAAACCTACAACTCCAACAAAGATCTAGAAATTGCAAACTACGCCTAACTAGATCTGGTCCAAACGAGTCAGATCCCCTTCCAAAGGAACCAGTGGCGAAACCACATTGAGGGCCGGAGTGGCGCCGGCCCTCCCCAAAAAAAAAATTTGGGGGTTTTGGTGAGAGGTTGAGGCAATCGAAGGGCTGGAAATGGAAGGGCGCCCTTTGAGCGCCCTTCCGATGCCGCCGGAGGCCCGGAAGAAGATGAATCTGGGCCCTCCCCGTGCTGGGATCCTGGTTTCGCCACTGAAAGGAACCACTCCAGAACCACATCGGGAGACCATCTTCAGCAACTCCCCCATCACCCAACAGGGTAAGACTGTTAATCACCACCAAAAGCAAACGAAAAGCCCCTCTGTCAAACCTCTTCGCCCCAGCACCAGGGACATACCGGATGCTGATGTTGTTCTCAAGTCCATCCGCGACCATAGACGTAAACAAGTGCCGCCATTGATGAACATCCCCAAGCCAACGAAACCCTAAACCCCACCATGGCCACCTGCAGAAAGGAGAAGCATCACACCAGACAGGAAAGCGACGACCGGGGGTGAGCTCACTGACCCCCGGTAAACACTTTTATCGCTCAATATTGAATTTTCATGTATCAACCTCAAAAAATTAAATTTCAAATTCAACATCAAAAGAGCATGAACTTTTGAGAATAATGTCTTTTCTGACACGCCGGAGGGGGAGGAGGATGTCTGGACAATGTCGTACTTGGAAGTGGCGCCAGCTGTCATTCGGGTCCCACCTGATCCAGTTCCTGAAGTCGTCCTTCGGAGCCCACTTTGTCGGGTCGGGCAACAAATGATCATGTTCATTGCAGGCCAAGAAATATTGGAACACCGTAATTGCTTGTAAGAAGAAATTGGAGGAAGAAAAAAATGGTGTATATATGCAATAATCAACGGTTGTAGACGTTGGCCAAATAAATTTCTCAATTTATCTTAACCGTTATCATGCTGTTGCTGTTTTCTATTCAACAACATTTTGAAAATATTTTAGTTTATTTATGCAATAATGTGTTGAGCTCAAATGCGCAAAAATTACCCAAAAATATCAAACAATGTCTACAATAAGTATGAAACTTCCAAGACTCATACAAGAGTAATAACTTCCCAAAGTCAGCCAGGATAGCAAGCCATATCACACACATTGACAAGCCAAAGGATAAATTATTCATTGGGGCATATATTATCCTAGTCTACAAAATTCATGCATTTACAAGTACGTGATTTAAAAAATTCCCACAGTAATGCAATTTGCTCACTTCGCGGTTCACATCAACACACCTTCAATATTGTTAAGGGCCTTTTTGGCAGTCTTGAACTTACTTGCCAGTGACTTTTCACCATTCACTACATAATTGCGGATGAAAAATTCGAGACCACTCCTGAGGTGTTCGTACTCGGGTGTCACAGCAATTCGGGTGAAAATGTTCCACACGATTTTATCCGGAAACTCGAATATGGCCTCAAACAGCATCCGGAAATGCATGATCCTCTTAGAAGTTAGATGCATTGGGTCATTCAAATCGACCGCTTTTAAAACTGCTAATGAGAGACTAAAAGATGCAATCATTTCTGCTGTGAATTTCGACAAGTGCATTGATCTCATCAAAGACATCGACTCCAATTCCTTGAAATGATCCCACAAGCAGTACTGTAACCCAATGGCCAAAAAAAAACGTAAATAAATAAAGGAAGAAAGAAAATAAGTTAGATTGAAATTGTGTCCAAGTGGCATACATAACCAATCTCTATANGAAAGGAAATATTCACACCTGCAAAGTAAACTTGTGGTTTTTGTCATGGCTGCATAATTTAGAAGCAAGTACACAATAATACTTGTTAAACACTTTTTCTTGCAGGCAGCACTCCACAAGTACTCGCATGATCTCTCGATCCTAGCCCATGCACAGAAATTATAAGCCGACTACAATATTTTCAAATGAAAAAAAATGAGAAAATACAAGGTTATTAATCACGAGACAGGTTACCTGCTTTCCTGGCAAGTCTAGCCTAAGAAGTTTCTCAAAAGCATCGATATAGTCCTCTCCACTCATGATTACACAAAAAATTGCCCTTCTTGCATCCGTATTCATTCTTTGAGATGCCGCAAGCTGTAACATTTTCTTAGTCTCGGGAATCTCCTTATCAATTGTGCCAGCAACTTCTTCAACATTCTCAGCAGTCAAGGAATTATCTCCAGACGACCACCACTGACCTTTCTTACTTGGATCGAGAAGTTTGCTCCATGTCAACCCTCGGAGTAGCATCTCATCTACTCTTAACTGAAATTAAAATTCAATTCTAAGAAAATAACAAAAACGTGATCCCAATTGCTCAAATATAGCCAACTTTTCATTGAGAGCATACCAGGATAATTGTTTTTAGATATATAATTAAAGGTGTGAAATATTAATTAAGAGACACCATAATAAATATAGTAGTTCAGATTCTGAGCTTGTTATTGTAAAACATCATGTTTTAAACCTAACTTATTTATTAGATGAAAACATGTTTGATCAAACACCATATAGTATTAATTAGATCAGATAAACCACAAACCTTCTGTAGCCATTTCTTTATCCGTGTGTGCTGCACAGTGTCTTCCTTTGTTTTCTTTTTGTTGTTCTTAATATCACATATTGTTTCAAGCATGAACTCCATCTGCAGAAAAATATAGAAAGTCAAAAAGGAAATTAAGAGCAAGTGCAAGGAGTCCAAATACTGAGAAATTAGAATGAGCATACTCTTTTGCTGATTAACTGTGACTGCTCGTTTTCAGAAGAGGACTTCAATTCATTAACCCTACTCTGAACACTTGTAATGAATTTTTTCATCCCAACAGGATCATCCCCACGTAACTTCATCCCACAGCCTGTCACAAGAAAATTTCAGATAAGTTATATAAATTACGAAAACATACCATGATAAAAGCATATGCAGACTCAAGATAATAAGTGATATGCTATACAAAAACAAAATTTTGGAGAATACATGAAACTAAGTAGAAGAAGGTCCACTCATGTAAAGGACTTCTCTTTCAGAACCTTCTTACGTCCTCATTCGCAATTGTAAAGTTTGCAACCAAAGAGAGGATAAAAGAAAAAATAAAAACAGTAAGCACCAAAAATCACTTACATTGCAAAACAGTCAGTACTGTAGAAACATCAACCTCTGTTAACCTCTTTCCAAGCATTATCAGGAAATCATATATCAACTCACTGGAAGATAAATGGAAAGGCACCTCGTCAATCAGGAAAAAAAATACACAGATAATACAAAATAGATGAATCTAAAAAAGGAGTAAAAAGATATTCAAATTGAGTTAAAGTGTATTTCCTAGTGGGTCAACTCATGCCATCAATCTGTACAATATCAAATTCAACTTCCAAAACAAAACTCATTCAGATTCATGCAACACTGGGAAAGTGCGAAAAAGAACACATGCAATATGACCATTCAATTTGTACACATCAATACACATCAAACAACTCAGGATCTACAAATGAATGTCAGCCTTCAAGCATGTTTACCCAAATAGATGCCTACTTGCTGCAGCTGAGACTAGGCAAATGCAAAATTCACTCTACCCAATTATGACCCAAAGCCTATGATTTTCTTGTTTTATGTCTCAAGTTAATTTTTAAAATGGCAGCAAAACAAAACTACACATAGTGATGATCAAAAGTTGGGCTAAAGAAGATTTGTGACTGTCACAGCTGAATCAAATACCATGCAATGCAAGCTTAAATGAAGGACTGCATACATGAAAAGAGATATATTTCAGGATTTGTAATGTCACATTACCTTGAGCAAAGTCCAAAAACATACAAGTATGAAAATAGAAGTGTCAAATTCCGCAAGGATAGATTATCTTCTTTCAAATACTCCTCCTGAAAATAAAAGATGAAAAGGATGGTCTTTGGTCAAACCACAAGAACAACAGGCCTAGAAACTATAAGGGGGGCGGGCGAGTAGTCTTCCATGTTTGATTAGTTGAGTAAGCATGAGATGAATAGCTTATATCCTCTCACTAATTGAGAGTTCTAATTGATTGGCAAATAGATGTACATATCTCGTGTAAAATGATTAAACAACGCACCTCAAAGCATTTTGCGACATGTGCAAGAAGTTTGGCACCAAACTCCATTCCAACAGAACAGGTCACTCCAGAAACAAATGCCGCAAAAATGGCAGCATACCTTCAAATACAATGAAGATGGATGCAGATGTCAAACAAAATGAAGCAGGTATTAAGAACATTATCCAGAATACCGACCAGAAAAAAACGTAAAATTAAAATAACAGTAGCAAAGAATGCCTGGCAGTGACCTATGGCTATATATGTTGTGGTAAGTGTAAAGTAATAATTATTTGACAATGACTTTTAAAAGTAAAGTTCTCTTTAAACAGAATGAGAAAATAAAACATGGAGAGAAGAAATTCTAGAGAGAAAAAAACTAGTCTTAACTGTTCGTTTCCACGAGGACCCCCGGAACATGATGCAACAACTTCTTCACTTACAATTTGAGAACCCAAGCTGCGGCCAACTGACTGAAGCAGTATAGATAATGAAAACACAGATTTCATATCAACAATTTTTTTTATGCTATTTTATGGGAAAACAAAAACTTCAGAACATTAAGAATCTAATCAATAGTTTCATGGTCAAATGGCATGCACAATGGCATTTTCAATAATGTAAGCCAACTCTTGCCAACATTGTGCAAGGCTACAAAACTCTTCAGATAGACTTGACATGATTGCATGCCATAAGCTAATGGTTTGCCAAGCCATAGACGCTAGAAGATTGTTCAATATATCTTCCCATATTTGATTTGCAATATGTTGCCTGCCCCCACAGTAGTTCAGAATTTCGGCCTTTCAGATGGCTTGAAAGACAGCAAGAGATAGACTCCTTAGTAGTTAGATATGTCCTCAATCCTCATAGCTTTTTAACATTCTATATCTATACCACCAAAATAGTATTAAAATATATTATCCTACCCTTACAACCAACCATTATTTTTTTTTCTCTAAAAAACGACAATATACTATATCAACTCAAAAACAGCATAGTTACAACCAACCATTAGCAAAGATTTCTGAATTTATTTACTATTCATACAGACATTTCCTCCATGGAAGTAGCACAAATATACAATAACGAAAAAATACCCTACACTTTTAACCAACTATTAACGATGATTTTTTAGATTCATTCCTATCTATATTAACAATTTATCGATTATGTTACTCTCTATGACATGTTTTGAATCAAACGTGTGAAAGATGCAAGGAATGAATATGGTAGAGGCTCACATTATACAGACTAGAAATTTGTCCTGTGATGGACTCCACATTGGTTTCAGAGAGCCTATTTAAAAGTCCTGAAGAAAAATGAAATATAAGGACAAAAACAGAAGAAGAAAAAAAAGCAGTTAGCTCATCATAACCAAAAATAAATAAATAAAATAATAGAAATCAATGATGATAACGGATGCTGAAACAAAAACAAATCCAAATGCATACCTCTCACACGTTTACGTAACTGAGCATGTTCTTCAGATTCATTCCCACCACGTGATCTAAGATGAGGGGCCACATATTTCCCCTTACCCGACTCATCAAAAGTTCCCAAAGCTCCGTTCACTCTTTTCCCACCTTTCTCATCCTGCTCAATTTACACAATGTTCCAGTTTTTCATAAAAAAAATGCGGATATCAAAGTTTTTCATTAGATATTCTGCAGGATTTTGTACCATATTGTCCTCTTGCGAAGGAATTCCTTCCAACAACATGTTGAGGTCATCGTCCTCTCCCATCACCTTCCCTCCCTTAACTTTTAGTTTCTTCGCGAGTTTTCTTTCAAGCACCAAATCAGCTTCACCCAAACCTTGACCACTCTGAACATCATTTCCAAGATACTCTTCAAACTTTGTTTTCTTTCTTTTTCCCTTGTTTGATTTTTTTGGTGAGATTCTATCCACAATATCATCATCATCCTCAGTACCAGCTAGAGAATCAGATTCTTCATCCCTTTCACCATCCCCATCTTCTTCACCATCATCATCATCATCATCATCATCATCATCATCATCATAATCACCATCATCACCACTACTATTAAATAACGAACCAAACTCTTCACCATCTCCATCGTCCGAAATTTCTTCCTCTATATCCTCATTTACCGAATTGATCTTCATACTATTCTTGGATACAAGATTGTCGAGAGTAGAGGGAGTTCCTTCAACCAAAACACTAAGATCATCGGCTGCACTGAGCTTCCCTTTCTTCAACTTGAGTTTCTTTGCAAGTCTCTTCTCGAGCCTCAGATCCTCCTCCGCTGATGGCACTTTCCCCCCCATCTCCATTTCAAGCAACTTGAAGAAATTGGTCTTTGGTGTTCCCTCTGAACCAAATTTTCGTTTTTGGCCCCTATTAGTTCTCGATTTTTCAAAGCTATGAGGTTGTTGGGTGGAACCATTACTTCTCATGGTCTTCACTTTACTGGCACCGTTCTTGCTTGCATTATCCTGAACTGTTTCAGTTGAGGACTTCAGTTTCAGATTGAGTGAGGCTTTCTTCGACTGCAATGACAAACGAAGCCCAAAATCACTTGGGGTTTTATGGTTTAGGGTTAACAAATAATTAGAAAGAACTCACTGCATTGGATTGGATGTTCTATCGATATAACAAAATATACAAATTACACAAAGTAGGTATAAAGATACAAAAGGGACAAAAAAACCCTAAAAAAACAATAATTCAAAGCCACAAAACCACAAATGTCGCATATTACATGATGTTGGACCCAAGAATCAAACTTTTGCTTGTTCTTGGCCTGACGAGCTTCTTTCCGGCGCTCTCTACGGGATTTTCCACTTTCGGTTTCCTCTGTACCTAAAAAAGTTCAGGAAAAAAGGCATAAAAGTTCCTGTCGGGTAATCAGATGGCATACTGAGCACCAATTTCTGTAGAAAATCTTACCCATGATGTGTTCAAGAAATCAGAAGGTTCTGACAATGCTCAGACGGGAGGAATGGAAGCTGACAAAGGCAGAAAGCTACTCCAGCTTACAAATTTGAAAAGATATTTTCCAAAGCAATTTTTTATTCAGATAAGCTTATGAGAATCATGAGATTAAAAGCATTCAGAATGCATCAGATGTTAGAGATAGAGTGCAGAAAAAGCAATAGAACGTCGAGGGGGAGGATAAAGAATGATCTCGGTGGCGGCGAGCAGGGTGGGTATACTGGTAGCTAGAGCTGGGCCAGCAGGGCGGGCTTGACAAATATGATTGTTACTAATTACCGCCTCTTTTTTTTACTACCTACCGCCTCCTTTTTGACCATTTTGCCCCTGCAATTTTTTTGTTTAAAACACAAAAACACGGTCGGCCGGCAATACCGGCTGCACCGCGGTCGGCCGGCCTAGTCGGTCGACTGCCACCTTGTGCGGCAGGTATTCCTGGCCGGCCTCGGCCAGCCATGTTTTTTTATCAAATTTTTATTTAAATTATGTTAGAATTTAGCAATTATTATGTTATGAGTTAAAATTTATTATCTTATAAAATTTATTATTATTATGTTAGAAGTTATTGTCTTGTACAAATTAAATAAGTAATTTTATAACTAAAATTAAATTACATGTTAATATTAATTTGAAAAAATAAAATTATTTAAACTAACTTAACCAAAAAGTAGTTATTTGATATAAATTTAAAAAAAAAATATAATAACATGATAATTTCTAAGTTCTAACATAATAATAATAATAATAATAAATTCTAATTTGTAACGTGATTTCTAAGTTTTAACATAGTAATAATAAATTCTATAATTTATTACATAATAATTTCTAAATTCTAACATAATTTAAAGATAAATTTGATAAAAAAAAGGGCTGGTTGGCAACAATTGCGGCCGCGCTCGGCGGCGGTGGGCCGATTCGGCCGGCAATCGTATATTTTTTTTAAGACCAAAACAATGCCAGGGCAAAACGGTTTAAGGGGGGTAGGTAGTAAAAAGGAGCAGTATTTAGCAATTCACTATGTGAAAATATATATCGACATGAGAGCTTATATTTAATTAAATAATTAAAAAAATATATATCTCTACTAATATACTAGGAAGCTAACGGCTGTGGGCCGGCCCACGTGTATGCCTTCTTGATGTGTTTGATTGTTATATAATACATACTGCAATCTGAACNCATTTAGTAGAGAAATGCAAACTTAAATAGTACCAATAATATCAAAAGTTTCAAATTGTTCAAAAACTAGATTGACACATAGTCCACAGCATGACCTTTGGGATGACTCTAAGATATTTACACAACAAAAGTAAAAGTATGCACCCGTTTTGAACATTTAGTACTTATCAGTGTTTTAAAACGCGCATAGCGTCACGTTTTGGTCTTTATATTACGTAGCGTAAATAGCGTAGCGCATTGTGTAAGCTATTCGAGCAGTTCACTTATAATGCCAAAAATAATAATATATATATAATCATACAAGTAAATAAATAATTAAAATGGTTTTAAACCATAAACACATTAAATCTAAACAATAACATTCAAATGGGAGTGTGACAAATCAGGTCGCTAGATTGAGAAGAAAAGCATAAGTCAAAAAAGTTGGATTCAATCTCCTTTTTTAATCTTATCAACATGATCACAAGAGCACGGTACAACTTCAATCCAAAAAACATAGGCTACATATTATTTGAACCATTCAATAAAAACTACACACGAAATCATGATTGTGATCCAATCTAGTTTTCTTCATTTACTACGTTTTCACCCAACTATTTGAACAAGAAAAATTAACAAGTAAACAACACTCCCATCAGACACCAAACTGATACATAGAAAAATTCATGTGCAGCCTTTCTCTTATAATCGAAAAATTGTAAACAACAGCACCAACCTCAACTGATTCAACGGCAAGGATTAACAAGTATAGTCTAGTGTTCTCAGTCCAGGACCATAGACACTCAATACAATGTAACAACACTCCCTATCAACAAAGAAACTTTTAAAATCCCAGCAGAGTCCTCAAAACAGCAAGCTCAAGCAATCATCTATATCTAACTCTATTAATTTAATAAATAATCAGTCCAATTAAACAAAAAATAAAAATAATCAAGTGAATGAACAAGAGGCCCAATTTCAATTTCATAATCTCAAAATTAAAACAAAATGTTACCTTTGGAGTCGACCGAGGAGCAGGAGATGTCGGGTAGAGAGAGCCGAGGAGCAGACACTTAGGGGGTGCCGAGAGCCGGGCGAAAGGCGAGAGGCGAGAGGCGAGAGCCGAGGGACTGGAGGATGTTCTGAGAATTGAGGCTGAGGTGGAGCCGTGGCGGCGGCGAAGTTCCTACTCTCGCCGAGTTGTGGTGGGCCGTGGAGGTTGCAATGGAGGCTGGGTGGAGAGGCTCTGAGGCGCTGAGGGAGATGACGAAGAGAATTAGAGAAGTGAAATGAGGGTTTGTTCGCTTGCTGCCGATTTTACTTTTCTTTTTTCCTTTTTTTTTTTATTTTCTGCATATAAAAATTATAGTCCTGAATAGCGTCCGCAGTTTCTATTGCATAAATAGCGTAAGTTTTCGGGTAGAAAGCGTGTCACATCATAAATCGCGTACGTTATTCTGGAACTCCGCGACATTTTAAGCGCTATAGCATGTTTTCGAGGCGCTATAGCATGTTTTCGAGTAGGATTGCATTATTGCGCGCTATGTCGCGCACGAAAAAACGCTTTTAAAAACACTGAGAAAAAAAATAATAGAACGTCAAGGGGGAGGCTGAAGAAAGATCTCGATGGCGGCGAGCAGGGTGGGTATACTGGTAGCTAGAGCCGGGCCGGCAGGATGGGATTGCCGTACATAACAGCGACTTGATTACTAAAATAGTTAAACAATTAAAAAATATATTTTGTTAATGACTAAAATGTCCTTACTTAAAACTCTTAAGAAATAAGATTACAAACTATATTTTATTTTTTTATATTTAAAATGTGTTAATTCCTTTATATGTTATGTAAATTGAGGGAAAAAAAACGTAGAAGAGGACACTTCAAATTGAAATCTCATATAAGCTCAAACCAACAATTGAGATGTATTATTGCCCAAAAGAGGAACAAACTGAGAGTTCACCCGTCAAATTTGAATTGAGTCGTCGAAAATTGTTGGTTGAATTCTTCATCTCGCCACCGCGTGCTGTTGAAAATCTGGTAACTTCGTGGCATTTGTCCGACTATTGAAATGTCGGAATGACGATCTGGAGGTATTGTTGGATCTCTTATGTAAAGAAGGCNTCTCTTATTTGACCCGAATGTCTTTCATGTCTTATCTTACTTTTCTTTTTTATTCGCGTCTATTGGCCTGAGGCAAGAACTTTCAGTATGGTGCGTACAGTCTCCAATGTATTCTCGACTCAGGCTATATGTTTGCATATGTTTTTGTTAGCATTGTGTGGTATTTTTATGGTCTTCTTTTTATTTTATTTTGAGTTCATTTTATAGTTCTCACGGTCCATTGGGTTGATTTTCCTCGTTTGGGTGTTTTCGTGGTATTTGAGTATTTTTGTGTATTTTTTGACTACTTTTATAATTTATTTTGTAGGAAAACGTTGCTCGGATATTTTTAGATAGATTTCATTTTATCTTAACTTACATATAGTCACATTCCTAACAAACATTAACTTTACTTATATATTTCAAAATTAATTACATCAAAAAATAATATTAATATACATTAAATATTTATCATTATATATACAAAAGAATATTAGTTTTAAATAAGTGTTATAAATAATAATGACATTACGCGACAATAACTTTTTAAATAAAATAATATTTGAATATTATGATGAATCAAAATATGTAAACTTATTATTTTTTCTGTAGTAAAAAATAAATATATATGTTAAAAGGAAATGCTACAATCCCGTTACGGAACCATTCTGTCGAGATTTGTAACCATTAGATCATCATGTAACTGTCGTGGATAGTTGATCTAACGGTTACCAATCCCGACGGAATGGTTCCGTAACGAGACTATAGAATCTTCCAATATTAAAATATTATTTATATTAATATAAATGGGGCAGCCGACTAATACATTGTTAAAATAATATATTTTTTTCTAAATATTCTAATGTACGAAACTCTCGTGCATCACACGGGATTCGCCCTAGTCTTTTATAATCTCTCATGCTTATTAATACATACTCATTTTTATAATCTCTTATGCAAAAATTCTATGGAGCCATCGGATGATTTTCTTATGGAGTCATCCACCACTTAATGTTTTGACACATGTCCAAAGTGTATTTATTGCAGGACACGTGTCAATACACTATTGGTGAATAAGTGTGGATGGCTACATAAGCCGAGCCATCCGATAGCTCCATAGCAAAACTAATCTCTTATGCTTATTAATACATACTCATAAGCCATAACTTCATAAGCTTGAAAGACTACTACCGAAATTTTTCTTAGCTAAATGATCCAAAGTCTTGAGATACAAAAGTTCTATTTAGGACTAATGAATGAAATTAATGCCGATTATATAAAAAGCTATCTACACGACACATAGGTCGCCGGAATATTTCACTACGACAACCTGAGTTATATCAAGTCGAGCCCTTAGTTCCCATTGCAACTAGAAGATCTCTGTAATTGCCTTGTGATATGCACTCACATATGACATTTTTCAGTTCATTTTTATATTTCCCTTTGAAACTTCTTTGTATCTCGTCCATGTCCACCTCTGCCCGGCTCACCATAATCCGCTCGATTGCGCTCTTATCGCTTGTCGTTCCCTTCAAGCATCCATACAGAACCTAAAAGCAATCCATTGCCATGAAAAAAAAATAAAATGTACTAAATTCGAAGATTACGTAAATTACAGTAACAGTAATTAGAGAAGTAAATTATCCATAGTAGGTTAGAAAATCATCCCCACATTTAATCTAATTGTTAGAAAAATGGAGCCAGTTCGGGTCAAGCCCATGGGACCGAGTCACCGAGTCAAAAAGGTGAGTTGGGGACAACCCAACTCGGTGGCACCTTTTAGAAGTAAAAGAATTTACTACACAAATAACATCATGTTTTAGTGCATTTGGCATAGCAAATGTCAGTAAAAGCTATATTCAACTCTAAAAGGTGAAAGATAATTGAGGCTTTTCTTTTGTAATTTAGCTGAAACCACAATGAAAACTACCAGTCATGAATTTAGTACTTTACATTGGTACATAGCCTCTTGATGGAAAATCTGATATATATCAATTTGCAGACTTTAGTTGATAGAAATTTGTGGCAGGGGTGCAGGGGAGTATCATGAGGGTCCTCACATGGAAACAATGACTCCTTTCAGTAGATTCAATCGTACCCATGTGAATTCATTGTGCTTCTTTCTCAAATTCGATAGTTTGATCATAAAATGATTATTATGTAAAAACTGAGAAATTACATAAAACATATAGCCATTGACGAAAAAAAGTTTTATCCAATCGACAAGCAATTAAATTGTATTAATTTCCATCACAAGTATACCAAAAATAAGGAAAATATGAAAACGAAATAATATTATTACCTTAGCATAATATCTTGCTGGACTGTAAATGCACTCTGCAACAACTCTAACAGCATCCTCAAACTCTCCAAGACCTTGATTTTTCAGAAACTGGATTCAACACCAACAACACATAACCAAATGTCATAGTTATTTTCTCATTGATCTCATTTTCTTTATAAAAAAAAATATGAAAATTATCTATAATTAAAATATGAAAAATTTATGCCTTACTTTAGTGTAACTGTGCCCATAAATTTGTTTGTAGCTGAGAAATGCCAATTTGAGCTGAGAAATGCTTCTTTTACTAAAGATCTCTAATACAACAGCTTCATCAATGGCTCCTAGCTTAGCCTCTCCTGCTTGATACACCCTTTTTGCATCACATTTTGCAATGTGATGGCTAATTTCAGCATGGTGTGCTTTGTGTGATGCAGATAATGCCATCAAGATCTATCATTTATTATCATTACATTTAAAATAAAATTACCAAATTAAAACCCACTTAACAAAATTCACATCAATTCATCACAATCTTAAGAACACCAAAANTTTTATATACATTCCCTTTTCACTAAACATTTTTTATACTATAATCAATTAAATAAAAAAAAAATGACCTTTTGATATGGATGGCGAGGTTCAATGGCGGCAATATCCAACTCTAACTGGCTCCTATATTTTGAGGCATAAGCTTGTCGAATCAAAAGGACATGGCTCGATTTTCGGCTCGCGAAAATCTCGACGAGTGCCCTGTAATCAACAGTGGCATTCTTGAAAATAGCTTCTCTTGCAAAAACAGAGTCCCTCTCAAATGGGTTGAGTATTATCAGGCTGGACAGGGATGAGACACCTGGATCGAATTTCTGGAAAAGATGGATTAAATCCTCACCGTACATTTTTAAATAATTTTCTCTGATTTTTCTGGATTCAGGTTGGGTTAGGCCAAGCAGGAGCTGGATTACAAGTTTTTCATTTTCCTTCCCAAAAGAATTGTGAATTTCTTTGCAGATACTTTCTGTTCTTGAAACTGCCATTGAAAGAGATTGAGAGGGAGAGAGAGAGAGAGATAGCTTCTTACTTGGAGGACAAGGAAAATGTAAAGTGATTTTGTGGTGGGGTTATGATGCACTCTACTTAAGAGAGTTGTGTGGTGGTGAGTGCTGAATTTCATGTTTTTTTTTTGTTTTTTTTTTTAAGGGACAAAACACTTTTTTCTACTTTGTACTGTATGAAAATCTAAATGAAATTTACCTATGAATACAAAATCCTGTAAGATTGCAAAAAATTGCATTTTACCCCTTTTTCAAATTCCAAGGGGAAAAAAGTAAAGAGTAAGGAAGTGTAAAGAGAAAAGGTAAGAGTTAGTGTACGGGGAAGTAAAAACTGATGTGTCAATGGTTTGTACATGAGAACAAAGTCCTGGGAGAAGTTTGTAGCTTTAGTGCAAAGTTCATGGCTTTTCCTAGTGGAAAGCAAGTACTTTTACTGGCCAACTTTTTTTTTGACTAAGGGAAAAAGATTGTTCCTTTTTTAGTTCAACAGGCTTTTTCCTTATGTCCATGTCCTTTTCTATTGAGTTCCTTTGGGAAAGCTTTTCCACATGGGATAGCCATACACTGAACATAATTTAGATGATAGGAGTTCTGTTGCTTTTTGTTTTTAAATTTTTGTTGTGACCTAACTTGGAAGCTTAGATGGAGCAATGACAACTGTTGGCGTGTGTTTTTTACCGGAAAAGTTGGCTTTGAAAAACTGTTGACATTACATACGTATGTTTTAGATGTTAAAGTAAATGTTGAGTTCGTGTATAACCAATCCATTAGATAAAAAGGTGAATTTTGCAAACATATCACACACTTGTTTTACAAAATGGCGTTTTAAGGTGAGATTGAATACAAATATACCCGCTCAAATTTTATTTTATTTTTGTTTAACTAAAGTTAATATTGAAAAATGTGGTATGATTAGTTATTAGTGGATTTTTTTAGTTTACATTAAAGTAATATTTAAAATAATATTAAAGTTGATTTGATATAAAAGTAGGAAATAGATGATTTGAAGTGATAATTAATTGAATAAATGATTCGATTTTCTCTCTTATGGGGTCGCACACTAGGACTAAAAACGAGATGCCCAAACTGGTTTTTATGGAGTTTTTTCCAATTCCAAAAACATTGGTTCTTCTGACTTTACTTTGATTCAATCTTAGAGAGTGAAAAAAAGATTCATGTTTAGGATTCGCACTTGGGATTCGACATTTGATTTTGCATTAATCGTGAGCACCTCTTTTCGTTTTGCTTATGAATGCGATGGCTTTGTTTGATGTAAATTTTAGTGTTGAATTCATGATGAGTAGCTAACTTCGTTTACTGAGGATAAGGGATAATTGTACAGGTTCATTTTCGATTACGTGTTGGTTAATTGTTCAATCTATGCGAGTTGTGATAATCCTAAGATTTGAAGATTGATCACCATTCTAATCTAGTTAATCAACTTTTAGAACTGAAAGTGGAGAAGTTGATCGATCTAAACTCGTTTAGAATAGATTTGTTCCTAACTGTATTGTCTACGTGTTAATTGATTTGATAATTTATCGTTTATGTTTATTCTCTTGTTACAAAAAGTTAGAGTATAAATCTCTAGAGGAGTAAGTTATTCGAGTCCTTTAACCGAACATTTGATGGCCCGGCAATTGCGTATGGAACCAGAAGCGATTATCCCCGACCCCCTTGCTTCTTATTCACTACCTAAATTTTGTTTGGAGAATCGATTGTTGATCTTTGCATTATTTTAGAATCAGTAGTTGTTAATCAAACCAAATAATCTGAATTTGAGTGTTTATGATTTATTTTTTCTTTATGGTTGAATATACGCACATTATATTCCGACTAACCTTCCTTGAAAAATCGACTCGTGGAACAAATCCTTCAATTCAATACTAGATAAAAATATAATTTACTACTAACACCGTAAATAGCCAGAGGCTGAGACTTCTCGTTGGGCCTTTCGAGTTGTCCGTCTGCACAATCTGCCTCTTCCTCATGAGGAATCCTGTAAGGACTGCACATGTCTTCGAGGCCCATATAGCCTCCTGATCCCACTCAAACACCTCAACTAAAGCCCATTAATTTTTTGTTTTATCCATATCCAAACATTTCTTCAAGTGGCCCAACATAAATCTGTCCACATGGCCCAATGTATGCACATATCACATTAACCTTTCTAAATCAAAGGCACAAGACCAATTCAACAACCATAGGTTCAAAATCTTTTCACCCTTCACTAAACAGCAACCCTGCTGCCGACAACCATCCTCCTGGCACCGTTGATCCACCATCGACTCACCAGGGTTTTAAGATGAATCATTTCGATTATTTTGAACCACGAATCAAATCAACCTGCAAATAGCGCCGTATAAAATTTTATTTTAAAATATCGTGAGAAAACTTATTGACAGCGTAGGTCTAAAAAATGAACTTAGATCCATTATTTATAAGTAATAAATGACTTAATTCCCAAGACAAATGTTTCCTTATAACCAAGAGTCTAATCCTTCATTGAATTGGATACCTTATTTAAAAGTGACTTAGAGCATGTTTGTTTATGAAAATTTTTGGTTTTGTTTAAATTTTTTGATTTGATTTGGTTAATTTTGAAAAATGTGGTATGGTTAGATGTTAATGGGTATATTAAAATAATATTTAAAATAAAATAATTAAAATTGATTTGATGTAAAAGTATGAGATAGATGATTTGAAGTGATAGTTAGTTAGAATAATGTGAGTGAATGAATAGTAAATTAAGGTTGATGTGGTGTGTATGATTGATTGTTTGATATTATTTAATTATATTGATAATATTAATGATAGTGGGGTTGAGTTAAAGTTAAGTTAAAAAAAGTGGTTGAGTTAAAATGTTGAATTTTTTTTGAAAATATCTTATAAACAAATATGCTCTACTTACTCTCAAGACATGGATTTTCTTAATAACTAGGAATATAATCTTCTCAAGATCTAGATATAGACAAACTTACTTAGGTATTTGATAGGAATATTTTTTAAATTTTCAGATGTATTTAACTAATATCTTTAAACTGTAGAACATGGATTCAACAATTAATATAGATGTGTTTGTATACAAATATATTCGCTTAAAATAAATTTTTTTGGTTAATTATGATATAGTTTGAAAAATGTAGTATGATTAGTTGTTAGTGAGATTTTGATTTTTATTAAAATAGTAAATAAAATAAAATAATTAAAGATGATTTACTGTAAAAGTATAAGAAAGATGATGTGAAATGATTTAGTTAAAAGTATATGAGTTGATGACTAGTGAATTAAAGTTGATATAATGTGTAAGAATGATTGAATAATATTATTTAATTATATATTAATAATAATATTGAGTATAATGATGTTAGATTAATATTAAATTAAATTTGGAGTATAAATTGAATATCAATAGCAAAAATTTATATACAAACACTCTTCTCATCTCGTTTTTCTCGTCAACCAAAGTCAGACTTGGTAATTTCTATATCCGACATGAGCACCCTTTTGTGTCTGCCACTCGGCCCACTCCTATCTCCTTTTTATCATGCCTCCAAATTACAAATTTATTAATTTAATCTTACCAATCGTGTTATTTGGAGGGGAAAATTAAATTTTTTTACATTATTTCAAGACTAAGAACTTTTTATAATTAGTTTTGAGATTTTCCTAGTACTGTCATTGGAGTCAACACTAGCCGTTGTGGTCAATAATCTGGTTTATATAACATTTAAACGATTTTATTATGGGAAAAAATAACAAGTGATTTCTACTTTCTAGCTAGTTAGTATTTAAAACTATTTACCATATATTTTTATTACTTAGGAATGAATATATATTCTTTCAATGGTCTATTTATTGTTACATATAATTATTACATAGAAAACATCATTAATTCATGTTTCCATCAGCATCAAAAGTCTATTGCAACATTTCAATGAATTTTTTTTAAAAAAAATTAAAGATTTGACTTAAGGACTAAATTGTAATACAGTTAAATTTTCTAAAATTGCAGAGCCCCACCCTCAAATTTGTGTTCCTGAAGGACAAGGTCGTGAATTGCTGCTGCCCCACCAGGAGGAAGGCTGCCTACGCCGTGAGTGCCAGATGGGATGTCATGTTCAAGGTGATGGAGCCAGACATCCTCCGACGGATGTTCGTCGACGATCTCGGTCCGATCAGATTTCCACTCACTGGACAAATTTTCCTCAATTTAGCCCTCACATTCAAAATATAAACCACAAATAATCTGGCCTTGTTTAATTAAAATCCGAGATGGCAAAAATGAGAGAGGGTGAAGAAAGCAGAGGGGGTTGGCGAAAATTGGTGGAATTGGGTGTACTGACTCATGGTGGCGACGACGGTGGGAGTCCGGGTGCTCCGTACAACGAGGCGATGGTGTCGGAGGGCTCGGCCGGCTCTGCGATGGAGATTGACGGACGTCGACGCTGGTTTTGGAGTTGGAGCGGTGGCGGANTTTTTATCGTTGGATCTTTCGATCTGATAGCTAAGATGTATTCTTATTTCTTTCACTTAACACCATTCACACTGGAGCGCATCCCTCTCTCTCTATATATATATATTTATAGATTATCGAAGCTTACCTAAACTACAAGTAATATTTGAAGTTTTCAAGTATAGTGTGAAGTATGTACCAACATCAAACAATAAAATAATTAATATATGGTTGGGTAGTTATATTATATAAATATAATAAGTGTTAGAATATCACTTCTGAGTTGTTCCACATCGTTTATACATGGAACCAGCGTTTTCAATACCGTACCGTACCGGCCGGTAATACCGGATACCGGCCATTGGTAAGGTACAACTGTACACAGAATACCGGATTTACGGTTATACCGGTTTGTACCGGGTCATACCGTAAATACCGGTCCAAAATACCGGTCATAAAAAAAAAATAAAAAAAATAAAAAAAAAATATTAATTTAAAAACATAAAATTTAAATTGGTAGTTAGAATATTTTATTTTTATCTCATTGATAAGTTAAAATTAATGATTATGATCATTTATTTTTTTACTTTTTTGCATTTGGTATAATACATTTTTATATATAAATATATATATCATTATATTTGTTAATCCGATAATACCACCGATATTACCGGTCTTACCGGTAATACCGTGTATCGGTGGCTAGACCGGTATGGCCACCGGTACGGTATTTAAAACACTGCATGGAACATAGACTCACCTTATAACTCTAATGAGCTACTCCTTCTTCCACCAATTGGTTTTGGGATGGAACCCCACTTGGGCTTCATATTGACTTTTCCTGTTGGTGCGCTTCACGTGCGTGGGACCGCACCCATTTTCCCCCTGTTTCTTACACGATATCAGAGCCGGTTCTATGTGGAACCGTGTGATGACGTACCTGTTTATCCAGCCTATTTCTAGTAGGGCTTGGGCCCACGTACCCGTTTATGGGAGCCTGTTTCTAGTAGGGCTTAGGACACTCAACTCTGTATATGGCTTGGGCTTCTTATTAAGATTTCAAAAGTGAGGGGGCGTGTTAGATATCACTTGTGAGTTGTCCCACATCGTTTATACATGGAAAATAGGCCTAATTTATAAGTTTAATGGGCTACTCCTCCTTCCACCAATTGTTTTTGGGATGGAACCTCACTTGGGCTTCATCTGGGTTTTCCCTGTTATGGTACGCTTCATGTGTATGAGACCGCACCCGTTTTCCCCCCGTTTTTACATGGTATCAGAGCAGGTTCTATGTGGGACCGTGCGATAACGTACCCATTTTTCCCACGTACCCGTTTATGGGAGTCTGTTTCTAGTAGGCTTGGGACCACGTACCCGTTTATGGGATCCTGTTTCTAGTAGAGCTTGGGCCTACGTACCTGTTTATGGAAGCCTGTTTCTAGTAGGGCTTGGGGCACCCAGCTCTGTATATGAGCTTGGGCTTCTTATTAAGAACTCACAAGTGAGGGGGCGTGTTAGAATATCACTTGTGAGTTGTCCCACATCGTTTATATATGGAAAATAAACCCGCCTTATAAGTCTAATGAGCTACTCCTCCTTCCACCAATTGGTTTTGGGATGGAACCTCACTTGAGCTTCATATGGGTTTTCCCTGTTGGTGCGTTTCACGTGCGAGGGACTGCACCCCTTTTCCCCCGTTTCTTACAATAAAAATAATAATAATATAATATTTTATTTTTGAAATATGTCTTTAGAAAAAAAATCTGGATGACAATTAGACACACTAATCGCAATCCTACCTAACCGTTAAGTTATCATACTTTCTCAATATATATAATTCTTAGAAATATAATATAAATAAAACTATGCCATTATATATTAAAAAATATATCTTTATATTTTTTTTAAAAAAAATATTTAGTTAATAGTTAAATAGACAAAGCTGAGATTACCTTAATCAATAAATTTCTCCCAACTTTATTTTTTTCCCTCAATTTCCAAATTGCACTCANAAGAAAGAAAAGGAAATTTGGGGTCAATTAGAGGGCGGCGACGAACAACAACGGTGGGACAACGCGTGGCTTTCAGAGTCGTCATCCGGCTGCAGCGAGCAATAGTGGCGGGACCATGCGAGGATTCGAGCGGCTGCGTCGGGTGCGGTGAGCAGCTGCTCCGCCACCACCTCCACCGCCCCCTCGCTTCTGAACAACCTCGACCCACCTCAAGCCTGACATAACCCAACAGGCCAGAGTCTTGACCAGTGAGCTTCTGAAGGACCACCCGAAATTTGGATGCAGTGGTCGTGAAATTATTGGGGTTTTATTGTCTTTGAGTGGATCCTTTTCAGAGCAGCGGCGGGACGTCGGCCGCTGGCTAGTCGAACAGTCGGCGATTGGCATCTAAATCGGGGGAGTTGGGAATCGCAAGAATTGAGAAGTCCTCCGAGTGAGAAAGACATGTTCGGAAATGGCCGAATTAGCAGGAGGAAGGGTGTTGACTTCTCTATTTTGATTTTGTTTGATATTGAGGCAATGTTAATTGACTCGTAACATACGACTAAAAACAAGACAAGAAGAGGATCAATAGTCTCTGTCTTTGACGATTAGATATGAATATTTCAATTGAAAGGGCTTCGTGGCAAGTACAAGAGGTGGATGAGGGTATGCAAAATAATGATACATTACACATCTCACCTGTTGTGGGATACATAATTATAAAAGATCTTAATAATTGATCCTCCATGACTTATTTTGAGGGTCAATTTATTAGAACCAAACTTGTTAATAAAAATGAAAATTTTACAAATCTCTAGTATCATGCACATGCCAACCAAACGGACCTAAAAGGATACTATAGTCATATTAGGCGTGTATCCAAACCCATCCGAAAGCCAGTGGGGCAACAGAAAGTAACATTTAAACAGCAAACTGTACACAAAAATAAGACAGATACTCAAATTTCCCTCTTTTCCCAAGCCACATTAAATATTACATCAGTTAAATGAAACTCATCAAGGTATAAAGATAAAACAACACAAAAAACGTCCCTGAAAATCAACCCCAACATTCTCCTGCCCCCTCTCTCTCTCTCTCTCTCTCTCTCTCTCTCTCTCTAGGAATCTTCCATAGCTGCGCGTATTAAGATTTGCTCTGAAAACCATCAAATTACTTGTATGCGCCGCGTATGAATTTGCGAAGCTACCTCTGTTGAGCAATTTCTGGAAGATTCTTCGAACAAATCCGAGAGAAGTACATCTGAAAAATGCAGGTAAGTGTTCGTTGTGATGCTGCATCTAGTGAAAATCGACTTGCTGAGCTTTAATTGTTTCACTTTTTATATGAATTTCAGCAGACTAGAACAGTTGAGGTGAAGAGAGTATCAGATCTAGCGACAGCCAGAGAGATTCATGAATTCTTTTCGTTTTCCGGTGAAATTGAACATATTGAGATCCGTAGGTGAGCTCGTTGTTTCATTCTCTCTCTCTCTCTCTCTTTCTCTCTCTCTCTATGTGCGTTCTTTGTTTTTATAACCGTCATATTTAATTTCTATGTTCTATATTTTTTGTGGTTGCAGAGAGCCAGGGCAGCCAAAGACCGCATTTGTTACGTTTAAAGACCCGAAGGCACTTGAAATTGCTTTGCTGTTATCGGTAATCTGCTCGAATTATACAGCTCCAATTTCATTTAATAACAATCCTAATTGTTATGTTATTTCCAGCGAATAGGCGTGAGTTAGTTGCTTGTTTTAAGTGCAAATGCTTACACATGATTTGTTCCCTAAATTGAAGTGAAATGCTAAGCTGGAGTCTTGGCTGAGCTGTTTGACAGCTATAATTAGCAATAGCTGTATCTTGACTAAAAATAAAACTCAAACAAGTGGAAGTTAAAGCAACTAAAGTCTATTGACACGTGTCCTACAATAAATACACTTTAGACACGTGTCAATACATTAAGTGATGGATGACTCCATAAGAAAATCATCCGATGGCTCCATAGAATTTCTGCTAAAATCTATTCATGAGCTTTGTGGAAGGTACAAAGAGAAGTTATAAAGCAGTTCAAATGTTGTTAGTGATGAGTTTAGGCAGAGATATAGTTACTATGTGTATGAGGGTTAAAATTGAATTTTAAGTGTCAGAAGGGTAGATATATGCAGCATTACATATGTTCAAATGTTGTTGGTGATCATTCCAGATTTCCTAATTCATTGTGACCTTCTGAATATGAAGTTTCTGTTTGAGAAACCACCATTGGCGTCGGCAGACATATTGTCTTTCCCCCTCAATTGTGAAGTGGAAAACTGCTTCACATGCAGTTGCTAACTTGTCTTCAAAGTATCACTAGTATGCTGTACTATACTTCAATTTACAGGCATTTGCTATTTCAGTTGATGCTAAAAGGGGCCCTTAATTCTATATTATTCCACTAAGTTTCAGGTATTGCAAGGGTGAGTTGGGAGAAGATAAGTTCCCATGGTCTGGTGATAATTTGTGATTGGGGCATTGATATTTGGTATTTAACGGTTATTTTGGTATTTGAAACATATAGCTGGACTTGGTGATACTGTGTTTTGTAATACCGGACATATTTGATTATTTTCTTGTCAATCTTCAGTTTTTCACCTATCACTAGTCTGATTACTGTTCTGTATATTCCTGTGGCAGAGTGAATGTATTTTTGTGCTGTTTGAAAATTGGCCCTCCACACTGTACATCTGAAAACATGACGTCCTGAGATTAAGCATTTCCTTTATTGTGTCTTGCAGGGGGCAACCATAGTGGACCAGGTTGTCATCATAACACCAGCAGCATACTATGTACCCCAACCTGAGGTTCGGGTAAGGTTGTTGTATGTGGTTTTGATAATGTCTTCCCAAAATGCTTCATTTATTAAGGATTGTTATTTTGCTGTTTTGTCCAGGAAGTAAGGATTGTTGACAATGCATTAAGCATGTCTCAGGAGAATCCTTCTACAGTTTCTGAGGTGAAACTATATGCTAGATTTACTGTTGTGACTAAGATCTGGTTAACTTTTTCGACAAGATGAACTGAATCTTTTTTTTTTTTTTTTTTTTTTTTTTTTTTTTTTTTNGCGACAGGGAAAAATGAGTCCAAATAATGGAAGAGTGTATGTTAGTAAAGCACAGGATGTTGTGTCGAGCGTTCTTGCGAAAGGTTCAGCAATTAGACAAGATGCTGTAAATAAGGCCAAAGCATTTGATGAAAAGCATAGGTTGACGGCCAACGCATCTGCGAGAGTGATTTCCCTTGACCGGAGAGTTGGTCTGTCAGAAAAACTCACAGTTGGAATCTCGGTTGTCAATGAGAAAGTGAAATCTGTTGACCAAAAGTTTCAAGTGTCTGATAAAACCATGTCTGCTCTTATGGCAGCAGAAAGGAAGATAAATAATACTGGAACAGCTGTTAAATCAAGCAGGTGTAAACTCTGCCCAGTGATATATGGTGTTTTCTTTTTATACTTGGGAAAAAGCAAAAGAAAAGGGGTAAATAAATAACTGTTGAACAATAACTATTCTTCTATATTGGCCTGAGTATTTGCTTGTATTTCACTTCATAAAGATTAGAACATGAGCTTGAACTTAGTCAACATATATTTTTGGTGGCTGGTAAAGTGGCCTATATATGGTAGGCTTCAATTCCTCAACAGATATAGTGAATTAATCTCAAGTTAATGATAGGAGGAGCTTGTTTGAAGGAACTTTCTTTTGTTTTTCTCCGTTATTCTTCTTTTTCTTTATATTTATATATAGACACTCCAAATAATGATCTATTTATCAGGTACGTGACAGCTGGAACAACTTGGCTCAATGGTGCCTTCAACAAGGTAGCAAAAGCTGGGCAAGTAGCTGGTACAAAAACTAGAGACAAATGGAATTTAGCATTATCTAACTTGACAGCTAAGGTGATTGTTTTAACATCTTTTCCTTTGATTATTATGACTTTGTAATTCTATGACCTGTCGATATTCTTATATATGTATATATATATATATATATATATAATATCCTCATCTCTTGAGCCCACATCATGAGAGTAGAATGTTCTATTTGGTTTCTTATGAGTATGAAGCACCATATATATTAATTATTTAATTGCTTTCATGAAATATATGTGCTTTGTAAGAAAACTTGTTTATTCATATTTACTCTCACCATCAGGCACTTTTGTTCTGCTTGTGTGGACTCTCGTAGGTTTAATAATTTAAGGGTCATGTTCTTGATTGTATATGCAGGATCCTCCTATTGCCGCCTAAATCCAGGGTTTGGACTTGTAGAATTGCTTGTTCTCTTCTTGTGATGGCTTGTTTTCAGATGATTTTAGTTTTAGAGACATCATATATGCTTTTTACTCGTGTGAGTGTCGATTGTCGAACATGGCAGTTCCATTCTTCGTTGGCAGGTTCGTGTGAGTCGATTGTACGCTATAAATTGTGCAATTTAATTTGTTTCATTGTTTGAGTTTGAGCAGCCTTGTGCATGTGATTCCTCATTTATGCGACTTCTGGACCTGTGTTGTCCAATTTTATTTTGTTCTGTAAATTTAGTTCTGTTTCATCTTTGTACTTGTCATCATTACTGTTATTACTATTAATAGTATGACACTAGTACACGGATGTTTGATGAAAACATTAATTGTGCAACCAAAATTGGAAAGAAAAAAAAAAATTCTCATAAAAAATTATAAATAATTAATAAGAAAATAAAAAAAATTGTAATATTAATTTGAGGCCAAAACATTGCACTCTTTGTTTGGTATCCCCAATAGTCCGTTTTAGCTGTTATTTCATAATTTGTTATTTTCGCCGCTACGATGCCACATGAGATGTTGCCGTTGTGCAACGCAGTCTCAATCTGACTTTTAATTTGCTCATGAATGAAGCCAACACTTTGCAGCTGTCCTTGACTTTTACGTTCAAGCAACGAGGAATTATTAGAAAGTATTTAAACTTGCAAACATGTGGGGTATTAATTTTTTATAGCTATCTGGTTTACGAATTGGATATACTTTCTGACATTTTTTTGTTCCTTTTCTTTTTCTAGAAAAAAATGTATAAAAAAATTTGGGAGTGGAAATTGAAAAGTGTAGATGTAATTCAATCTAAAATATAGAGCAAAGATTAAATTTCAGATAGACGTCAAAATAAGACAATTACAAGTGGTAGACTAACAAAAGCCCAAATAATAATAATGCTAACCTAAATACTAATTGGCCCAAATACTAACTGGCCAAAATTCCACATAACCCATCAGACCCAATTTATTCTACAGACGGATAGATCAACTTCTTCGTGCTTTTGTCTCCTTCACCATCGTATTGCCCTAATCCCAACAGATCTTTCATAATTGCCCTTCAACCTTATTCAATTCAGCCATGTTCATGACAATTATGTATATAGATATGTATGATAGTATTTTGTGTTCACTATTTTGACTTTTGTTCGAAAAAAGTATATTATTGTAAATGTCGTTGAATTTGTATGCTAACTTGCTAAGTTTACATACAGAAAGATAAAAAACAAAATCCAATGGATCAAGTGAATCAAAAATTTAATCACCGAACTTGGTAGTAATAACTTGCGAAGTGTATCGTTTCTATGCCATGTATGTTCTTTTTTACCAATGCCAATTCAGTTGCTTGAATATAACATTTTACCATTTAAGTTCAAAAAATTTCCATAAAAATCTAATCAAATTAACAACAACAACAACAACAACATACCAAGTATATTCCCAACAGGTTGGGGTCTGGGGGGTCAGTTGTACGCAGACCTTACCCTTGTAATTCTACAAAGAGGCTGTTTCCGTAGCGACCCAAGGTGCATTGCGCCGTTTGATATATTTTTTTCTAGAAACTTCACTAATAGAAGAAGCACTAGAATTTAATTGAGTCATTTTGATCTAGTCCATTATTAGCACTATGCAAGGAGAATTGTCAACAATGACTCTTCCAGCTCCATTTGCAATGGACAATCTAATCAAATTAACAATTAAAGTAATTCCATAAAATTGGAAAATGTAAGAAATTTAACGGGTATATTCATAACTATTAGGGGGAATTGAATAAACCCTAAACATGTAATTCTATCAATTCATAGAATATGGATCTTGCATAAATTAAATTGCACATAAAACTTACAAGAGTCCAGGTTATAGTCCTTCCTTATTTTCTTGATTGATGAGGTTGATCTACGATCCTCCTTCCTGTAATCTTCAATGATGGATTTGTCTTTGTCTATGAATTGTTTATCTCTCTCGCGTCTCTCGTCTTTTCATAAAACCCTTGATGTTGAGAACTCTATTTTCGTATGAGCCGAGAGAGAGGGGCATGTAGTAATATATATAGGAGGAGACTTACAATCCTAATCCTACTAACATTCCACATGTTCTAACCTAACTTACTGTCCAAGTCAAACATCACAAATTGGACTCTTTAATATTAGAACATTAATAATCCATTAAATACATATTCACCTTAATTAAGTTTGACTATTAATTCAATTAGGTCGAACAAATTATATGGTCCACAATAATAGAATAATTTAAAATATTATTACATTCTCCCACTTGGACCATATAAGTATCGAAACTCAAAGGACTACTTTAAGCGCGCACTTTTCATCAAACTTATAATTGAATACATATATCTATAAATTTAAAATTAAAATAGAAATTAACCGAGTCATGGCGGTCACAAGTCTTCGAGCGACATGATCCCTTCCATGTACTACAAATCATTTCTAATTCAACTTTACTTTAATATGGAACAAACTGTTCGTACCATAACCATAAGTCATCCAACTTTTATGTATATACTATAAAATAAATATCCATAATGATGATGTTATATATGAAGAATCAAACATCTTTAATCGAATTCAATAAGTGTCAAAATCATTAATTGAGCAACTACATTCTGTTACAGTCAGTACAACAAAGCCCCATTTGTTTTCCCGATTTTCTTTATATGCCTTGCAAAGGCTATAGGGAATAACCTTTTAATGGATCCACTTTAATGCAATTAGTACTAAAATGCTTAAATGACACTTTATTTCTTCACTTTTACTTTTATGACCAAGTATTTTAATTTTATGTGATTCACACCCTTTGAATACTTGTCATTCCTTGAATATATTATTGCTACAAAACTACGTTAATTTCTTAGAACTTGGACAAGATGTCGACATTTTCAAGTCCTAAGATAAAGTTTTGTAGCCATAAGTTTTGAATTGTGGCCTCAAAGCACACCACAAACTCAAACTTAATCTTGGAAGTCGCGATGATGGACTTTGTTCCACTTCTCCATAATCTTGCTCTTTTAGACATTATGAGCAAAAGTCTGAATCCAAGTCTCCAATTATAACAAATAATTTGGATCTTCTTTAAGTTAGCATGTGTTCTTTAATGCCATGTAAATACTTTAAAAAATTTCTTTGCAGCACTTAAATAATCATTTACGAATTACTTTTATATATTTGTTTAATGTACCATCAACAAATATGTTATCAAACCTAGTACAGGTTCGTCTCGCTTAAGACTCCTAATCATTTATATCTAATGAATTTTCTCCGTCATTTTTCATTCCATTTCACCTTTCGGACATTTATTATAGACTAAATGTGTCCCTTTTATGAATTGGAATTATATGGAACAACCATCCATTGTAAATATCTCCAAAACTCTCGAATAAAACTTTTATGGGATATACTTTTAGTCCTTGTGATATATTCCGGAATATTTTTATTCCAATTACCAAGGACGTTTATCCATATCCTTTATTTCATAATTTTCGGAGAGATGATTCTTTACTTCGTGCAACATGTCCATATTATTAGCAACTATAAATATGTCATCAACATACGGAACTAAAATAACAAATCTACTCTCACTGACCTTAATGTAGATACACCGATCTATGGTATTTTCTACAAATTCATAAGCAGTGATGGTATCATTAAACTTAAGATACCATTGACGAGAGGCTTGTTTTAGTCCATATATCGATCTATTCAACTTACACACTAACGTTTCATTTCTTGTGATCTCAAAAACTTTTAGTTAGTTCATGTAGATCTCCTTTTAAGTTATCTTTTAGAAGGTGATCTTTATGTCCATTTGATAAGGCTCAAAATCATACAGAGCCACCATTACCATTACAATTCTCAAGGAATCTTTCTTGAAACGAGAGAGAATGTTTCCTTGTAGTCAATGCCTTCCTTTTTGGGTGTAACCTTTAGCAACAAGTCTAACTTTATATCTTTCGATATTACCTTGAGAGTCGTGTTTGGTTTCGAAAAACCCATTTACACCCAACTCTTTTAGACCATTCAGGTAATTCTACTAATTTTCATACTTTATTGTCATCCATTAACTTTAAATATTCTTTCATGGCATTGATCAACTTTTTCCAGAAGTTTAACTTTTCATCGTTTGTCATTCATCAACCAAAGGTTGTTCTATAATTTCTTGATTGTTTGTAATCGATTCATTATCAAGTGAGTTTAGATCATTTTGTTATTCATCCAAGTTACATGATGGTGCTGTAACTAAAAGAATAACAACCATTGATGGACTCTCGGGTTTAGACTGTTCAACCCGAGTTTCTTTGACATCCAAACTTCGCGGTTCCGAACTCCCACTGATTTGATCATTTTCAATGAATCGAGTATTGCCGGAATCAAATATTCTCGTACTATGGTTAGTGCTATAATACTTATATCTTTTAGAACTTTTCCAGATAGCCAATGAAAAAACCACTGACTGTCCTAGGGTCAAGTTTCTTTTCATGTGGATTATATACTTTTACTTCTGCTTGACACCCCCAAACATGAAGATGCCTCAAACTAGGTTTTCTACCCTTCCATAGTTCATAAGGTATTTTAGGAACTACTTTACTAGGAACCTAGTTTACCCAGTATGCAGCAATCTTCAATACATGCATCGACATAGAAAACGTTAATGTTGAATTACTCAACATACTCCTAACCATATTCTTTAAGTACGGTTTATCCTCTCAACAACACCTATTATGTCGAAGAGTCTCAATATAGTGTATTGCACACAAATATTTCAAATCTCAGAAAACTTTGCAAATGGACTAGGACATTATCCTCTTTCATTGAACTTACAATAATAATCACCAATCCAGGGAGATCTCACAACTTTTACTTATTTATCGAACTACCTTTCCATCTCATCATTGTATATATCTTTGGATAGTCCAATGATTGAGTCATTTCATGTAGTAGATAAATATACCATAACGTGAGAAATCATTTACAATGGTGATTAAATACTCTACATCACCCCATGAAGGGATGTCGAATAGACCACAAAAATTAGTGTAAGTAAGTTATAAGATTTTTGTGTTTCTCTTGACAGATCTCTTTAATGTATGTCTAGTTTGCTTTTCATTAATGCATTCTACACATACATCTTGATAACTAAAATCCAAATGAGAATTGGTTTCATGGTTCACCATTCTCTGTAACTTTTCATCAGATATGTGACCTAATCTTTAATGCCATAAGAGAGTAGAATTTTAATTATGTGCACTACGTTTAACCTCAAAATAAATATGAGATACATAAGTAGTTGCACAGAACCAAGCCACCAAGTATTATTAGAAATCTTTAATAAATTTAATTCACAACATATGAAAATTTAATGTATATTTTCTTTTCGGATCACATTTTATTTCGAGCAATCTTTAATGATTAGACCTGTAAAAACTTTAAGTAAGCCAGTCTCCTTTTATTTGCCTTTATTTCCCATTATATCTTACTATCATTGGCTCTCACATGAGATATAAAGTGAATCAACTCTTCTTTCATCTCTTTTATTCTCACCTCTTTCTGCACCAACATTGCCTTAATTTGCTTACAGTCTCATTTATCTTTAATGGTGTTATAATTCACCTAGGATTGGCCAAACTCGACATGTAGGGAGTTCATTATGAATAAAACCATAAATGAGTCTATCACATTCATTCTCATGTTTGCAAGTTTAGATGATATGTTGGACTTGTGGGTCACGAGATTTTGGATGGAACAGAATCAGTCAAACTTTTATAGTGGTGAGCACGTTCATGAAACTTCCCACAATAGACTTTTCCCGCATTTTAAATGGAGATAATCCTTGATATTTATTTAAGAATTCTTTTGCATTATCAGTCTTAATGTTATCTGCCTTGATTAACTTCATAAAATTCAAACACAACCTATTTGATCGCTCACATGCCCTACGAAGAGTTATCTACTTCGGAGCTCTCATCAGTAATAGTTGTAGGCGCTTCATCAGTAATTAGAGTATATCCAAATTCAGTGCACCTAATTGAAAATGGATATGCTCAGACCATTCATTGAAGTTCAGCCCGTTAAATTTTTCCAAAATAATACTTGATGGAAAAACCAAATTTAAAATACTGCAAACTTTAATACATGCTATTTAATTAAGCTTTGAGAGAAAATTAATGGATTCAAAAATCTTTTAAATTACATATTTAAATATACCTTTGGGTAATACTTAAATATACAAACTTGAATAAACTAGCGGCTATCTTTGGACAAACACCCTAACTAACATTACTTTTAAGTATAACTTCTCTATTAAATATAATCCTTAATAGAAGTTATATAATTTTGATCAATTAGAGGTTATCTTTGGACAAACAACTAATTGACCTAACTTTAATTATAATTTCTCTTTTAATTGTCATAAACTATAAACATATGGCCGACTTTTGGGTGTCCTCCTGGTTTATAATCAATGACATCAATTATTCAAATATATAATTTGAAATAATTAATGATACCTAAATCAAATATATAATTAAATGTCTAATAATTAATGATACCTAAATCAATGACATCAATTATTCAAATATATAATTAAATGTCTAATAAAGTTCAAAATTAATGATACCTAAATCAAAATAAAAGGTCAATCATTTCTACACTACAATCCTTAAATATATATATATATATATATATATATATATAATTGCTGGTTCATGAACATTTAATAAAACCTATTAAATTATACCTATGTGGCAATATAATTTTTTCCCTCAAAAAATCGTTACTTTTTATTTATTTAACCTCTCATTTAATTATTAGATAATCAACACACTAATCACTTCAAAATTACAAAAATCATTTTAAACTTTTGATTTACTTACAACTGACCATATAATGTGTTGACTATTTAATGTGATTAGATGTTATTGTTGTGATTATACTTAAATTAACTTTTTGTGGAGAAAAAAGAAGTATTTGAAATCCCAAAATAAATAATAAATAATTCATACAAAAAAATACATACCAAAATATATATTACATCCAATATGATAGACGCAATTTAAAAAAATAAATATTTCAATTCTTTTAATTGTAAATTTGGCCTGCAAAAAAGTGCAAGAAAAATTACTAATCATTATATGTATACAAATAACTCACATATTTTATGCATATTTATGGATATGTACAAGTTGAATACTAGTTCTCCATAAAGATAATAACTAACAACAAGAAAAATCGCTGTCTCTACAACTGAACTGGCATTGCTGTAATTAAGATTTCGNGTATATAATTTTTTTTCTTTCCCTTGATTAATGAAGGTTTGAGTAGAAAACTGGGCAAAGCTCAAATACGATTTGTCTCGATTTTGCTATGCTGTTTTTGGATAACAATATCAAAATGCCGCAATATACAAAGACCCGAAACAGCCTGTATCCGAATAAAGGGTTAAGGATTTTTTGGGCAGGATGAATTTGGAGGAAAAGATCGGCCAAATGGCACAAATTGATCTAGCCATGGCCACGCCAAGGTTGTGAAGAAGTATAAAATAGGTAAAAAATCAGATATATTGCTAATTAGTACAATACCCATGTAAATACACGGGTGTTGAATTAGGAAGCATATGTAAAAAATATTAATTTTTTTTAAACTAAAATAATTTAATTTTATATAAACCATTATTTTGGGTTTTAATTAAATTGTTAAATTATATTATTTTAATCATAATAATTAAACATCCGTATATTAAAGGAAAATGTCAACTCATATTGAATTTTTTTACTTAAATCATATAAAATTATCAATATTATTTACTATTATTAAGTAAAACAAAATATATTTTAAATAAATAGAAATAATATGGTGATATGTATATGCATAAGTGCATAAATATGTTTGTTTAATATTAAGCAAAATAGATTAATTTTTTACTTAATTAAATTCCAAATACATCAAGTGTAGTATCCGTTGTGCTTCACAGTTTTCTAACTTTATATGTAATTTAGAATTTAGATAAATAATTATTTATTTTTATTAGAAGAAGAAACATTTATAATAACTAATGAATAAATTAAATAAAAATAAATGTAATGTATGGTAATATAAAAAAAAAGTATAAAATAATTTTATGATAACTAATTGTAGAAGTAAATGAAGAAAAAATCAATCATGGATTTAGTGTGATAAAAATATTAATTTATATCCAAGCCTAACTCCAAAGCATGGTTTTTTGTCAAATAGAATTCCGAAGCGTGAGAGTTTGTCATGTAGGCTCAACCTATTCTGCAATTATATATAGAGGGGATGTTATGAGCATTTTATTTTCTTTTGATAGTATTTTTTTTTTTTCAAACTAGTAAATTGCACGTGATATGATTATACACTTGATTGAAAAACATTAGTAATTTGCACGTGGTTTATGAAAACGGCCAAGCTATCAAAAGTAGTAATCCTTCATGTGCACATGTACACGTATAAATAAATTACTATAAGTTATGTGAATAAATATATAAACTATCTAACTATGTATGAATCACTACATTGATTAAAAAATTTATGAATAATATAATTTTAAGGAATCATGACCAATTAATTACCTGAAAATTATTATTATTATTATTATTAGTAGTAGTAGTAGTAGTAGTAGTAGTAGTAGTAGTAGTAGTATAAAAATTATTAATGAGAGTTTATGATGTTTGACTGTGTTATTGAAGTCAATTAGATAATTTTTTAAGAAAGTTTCTTAATGAAATACAAAAAAAAAAAAAGATAATCTTGATTATGAAGAGCTTGAAAAAAAAAAATTGAAATAGAACTTATGATATTTATGTAACTTTCATATAACATTTAACGTGAATTATGATTAGTTTATTTTAGTATTAATTAGTACATATAATCATAATTAAAAATATTATTACACTTAATTAATATAATTAGGTGGAGAAATGGATGTGATTTTTTTTTTTTTTGCAATAAATAAATAGTCCAATTTATATATATTTAATTTTAAATTTTCTATTGATGTATAATTGTTTGAAGCATATTTTTCAAGCATTTCATTCTCTAAATAATCAGTAGATTGTAGGATTTGTTTGTTGGTTTGTTTGTTTGTTTGTTTATTTATTTATTTGTTTTGCCATTGGTTGGTGGGTCTCACAAGAGTCAACTTTGGCATAAATCGTGGGCGCGCCCACAGACCCTGTTTCTGAGTCTATTCCCTCCTATCAATCATTTATTATTTCGTTGTAATAAGTTTGTTATCATTGTTTTATTATGTGTTTAGTTTAATGTTAATTGGAGTTGAAAAAACAATATTTATCATTTTTTAAAGAAAATTAAAATTGCAATCAGTTTTAAGGACAATCACTGAAAAGAAGTTATATATTGCGCGAAGCTGTGGTCAATTTTTTGAAATGGTTAGCATAAATTCTTGTGGATGCTCTAACAGTTAGTGTTAGTCTACATGTCAACATCATGATAAAAAATAAATTATTATTTGTATAATTCTAAAAAATCGAAGAAAATCATTCATGTTTTGAGATTTTACGACGTTCAAAGTTGCTACAGTTCCTAGTTTTGTCATATGTAGAAGAAAAAAATACTAATTTAATTTATTTAAAGCTCTTAATTAAAAATCATTTCCCAAAAAAAACTGCAATAATTGGATATATCTTTTTTGGAGAAAAAAAAAAAAGAGAGAAAAATGAAAAAAGTTACATAAAATAATCTAGATAAATAGTTTTTAAGAATTCTTTTATTCTTTAACTATGTAAGTTNTCATATCCGATCCACTATCGTGCCGTGTGCAATCGACTGAAAACAAAATTGTCTATATATACACCTTTATTTCATTATCTAACAACCAAGCAAGTTGAATTGATGGGCTTGCTAGTTGACTGAAAATAAAGTTGTTTATAAATACAAAAAGTCTATTTCACTCTATAGCTCCCAAATTAGTTGTTTGGTAAGCTCTGTCAGCTAGCTCAACTAGCAATCAAGTAAGACACCTCCATTTTTCTCATAACAACCTCTCTTCCTGTTCAATGTGAAAGGTCTGAAGAACTAAAAATGGCGAAAGCTTCATCAATATTCGTCTCGATTTTACTATTCTGTTGCTGGATAACGGTATCAAATGCCAAGACTCCAGTGTACCTCAACCCAAATCAGCCTGTACACAAGAGAATCGAGGATCTTTTGAGAAGAATGACTTTGGAAGAAAAAATCGGCCAGATGACGCAAATCGATCGTTCGGTGGCAACACCCGAGGTTATGAATAAATATTTTATAGGTAAAGAAAAAAAAAAACAACCAACATTATATGATTATGATATACTATACTCCCGTATTATAAGTTAAATTTTTGCAAGTACGATTATGCTTATGAATTATGATACGAAAAATTAATTTGCAGGAAGTGTACTAAGTGGTGGAGGTAGTGTACCGGCCAAAAATGCGTCCGCTCGAACATGGATTGATATGGTTAATGATTTTCAGAAGGCTTCGTTGTCTACTCGTCTCAAAATACCTATGTTGTACGGTATTGATGCCGTTCATGGACACAACAATGTTTACAATGCTACGATTTTCCCACATAACATCGGTCTAGGAGCCACTAGGCAAGTATTTTTAAGTTTTTTTTTTTTTTTTTTT